AGAGAGAGAGAGAGGGAGATCTATGCTTGCTATTACCCCTAAGTCAAACGGTATTATATGATTGAAACTTTCTATGCTCAAGACTTGGCTCAAATGGAGTATGTGATGAAAATTTGTTCCTCTTTCTACTCATCGGTCTGTAGAGTTCCTTGGAATGGGTGCCAGGCCAAACACTTTTAGTTATGCTGAACTGAGGACTGCAACTGAGGACTTCAATGCTAAGAATAAGCTGGGAGAGGGAGGATTTGGTGCTGTATATAAGGTAAACTTTCGATCCACTGATGTTTGTATGATTTAATGGATATTAGTGTCCACTACCTTATATATGTATATGATACTTTTATCACTTCCTCTACTTATATTCAGCTGCTTTCTCTCAATGGGCATATTTATGTTTATGCTTTAATGACTGGCATCATATAATTGATGCATTATGAGATTGAATCACTTATTCTTTTCTTTTTTTCCCTATGAAATATAAATAAGGGTACACTACCGGATGGAAGAACTGTAGCAGTGAAACAACTGTCAGTAACTTCTCGCCAAGGAAAAAATCAATTCATCACCGAGATTGCGACAATGTCTGCAGTGCAGCACCGCAACCTCGTGAGGTTGTATGGGTGCTGCATAGAGAGAGATCAGCGACTCTTGGTCTATGAGTATCTGGAAAACAAGAGCCTCGATCAGGCACTATTTGGTAACTGACTGCCCCCTAGATACCCCCAGAAACCCCAAATTCTTCTCTCCACACACACACTCTCTCCCAAGCATCACACAGACACAAAACACTTCATCATTTGTTCTCTTCTTTTCTAAGAATACACCATTCTTTCCCAAATTTACTTATATGGTACCACACGTTTTGTGTACTTCATAAATTGATGGCTTTTGACATTTATCTTTGTTTTTGTTTTTATTCTATGTTTTTGGCATCTATTCAAAATGTGTTTTTTTGACACTTATCTTGTGCTCTCTAAATATGAGAGCTCTACTGGTATTTTTAATTTGTAAAAATTCGATCCTGGTGTTCAAATTTTGGTTATTATTTTATTTATTTTTCATAATTTTGTGGTGTTCATGGACATTAGGATCCATGAATAACTTCGCAATAAGATCTGTGCAGTTATTCGTATTAATAACTAAATGAAGTCCATATGTGGATATTAGGAGAATAATCCAGAAACTATGAAAATATTCTTGACCAAAGCAAAGGTAGCTACTGTGATGCTTAAGAAATGACCATATGCATCTACAATGTCCTAAGAATGACCAGATAATTTCTGATTGTTTCATGGAATGGCCAGAACTTTCCTTCCAAAATCAAACTAAACTACAATCTATACTATCAGAATGAACCATAAATAAACCCTCTTGATACTTTGGATATTTTGTGGAATTCAATGAAAGCCCCATTTTTCACAAATTGGTACCATGATACTTTTGGATACCCATCTACCCCTGCCTTTTCCCTAAGGGAAAGATCTAAATTCCCCTTTCAATTGCGAAATGGCGTGAACATCCTTGCACATCAAAATGCTTCTGATCTTTCTCATAAATAAATTATTTGAAGTTTTCATTGTACCTTCTGCCCTATGAAACTTCAACTACTGTCCATCCAGATTCTTCCTGTTTCAACTTCTCAAAACGTTTCTCTACAGATAGTCATTCACAACTTATGCAAAATGGAGTCACTGCTAACTAGATATGCACTGTAAAACTGACTACCCATTAAAATTAGGAAGGATAGTTTCTCTTTGACAAATAGAGAAAATACTGAAGGTTAGAAGCTGCCATTTTCTATCCTGCAGGGAAGAGTAAACTACATCTTGATTGGCCTACCCGCTACAGTATTTGCATGGGAACAGCTAGAGCGCTGGCATATCTTCACGAGGAGTCAAGGCCTAGAATTGTTCACAGAGATGTAAAAGCTAGCAATATACTCCTTGATGCTGATCTCATTCCCAAAATCTCGGATTTTGGTTTGGCCAAGCTTTTTGATGATACGAAGACCCACATTAGCACCAGAGTTGCAGGAACAATGTGAGCCTTAACTTTGCTTCTTTAAATATCACAGACTATTAGAAACTCGTATTCAACTATTTGTTTGACATCTTTCTGCATTACAGAGGCTATTTGGCCCCAGAATATGCCATGAGAGGGCACTTGACAGAAAAAGTGGATGTATTTGGATTCGGAGTGGTGGCTCTCGAGGTTCTTAGTGGAAGACCCAATGCAGATACCAGCCTAGATCAAGAGAAGATTTACCTCCTGGAAAGGGTGAGTTACTGAGCATATATGTCATACTGAGGAAACTAATGCAGAGACTGTAGTTAATAAAGCTATTATATGTGTGCATTGTATGCTCATGTAGTATATGTATATATGTATTTATGCATGCACATATGTAGTGTCAAATGTATGTATGCATGGCTAAATATCTACATTCATCTATTACACGCACACATATGTTTGTGCGTCGAAAGACAGATAAGGTCATGGGGAGCTTATAATATGCTCTGGCTCAGCATCCACCTTCACTAATATCCACTTCCAAGTACGTACCTCCTTTTTTATGTAAACGAAGTTCACATCTCTCTCTCAAAATATGGACGCAGTTAGCATGCGGCCATCCTTCTTATTGTAGAAATGCGGGCTTGGCAATAAATATATTTTTAAATATAATTTGATTCTAATTTTTATAGTATATATAATCTTTAACATGGAGATCCTGAATATGAAAAATAAAATAAAATTTGAATTAAACAAACATTTGGATCGTTAGTTAGGATTGGTTTTAGATGGACCACCTATTTGCATCCATCTTTAAGATGGATGCTTTATACCTCTGGACCACATATTGTAGAAATGCGGTCCAGCTTGCATGAAACAATTGTTCATGTTTAAATCTACTATGCAATCTATGAGGCTACAATTTGCCACTTCGCAGGCTTGGCATCTGCATGAGAACAATCAAGAGAGAGAACTGGTGGATCAGAGGTTGACAGATTTTAACGAAGAACAAGTGACCCAAATTATCGGTGTGGCCCTCCTTTGCACGCAGGCTTCTCCTATGTTACGCCCATCCATGTCTCGAGTGGTGGCCATGTTAGCTGGAGATATGGAGGTGGCCACTGTTTCATCAAGGCCTGGTTATTTAACTGATTGGCATTTCGATGACATTAATAGCTTAGTTAGCCAGGATTATACTCCGGGGTCTGCCACAAGAGTCAATAATACAGAGAGTGAGATATCCTTCTCTCACAGCACAACCTTTAATACATCACCCATGAGTTCCGGTCGACCAATGCTGCATGGGGGTATCGATAAAGGGAGGTGATGTATGATGTAAATGGGGCCTAAAAGATGATGTTTGTTTCATTGTTGGTTTTTGTGGACCTCTCTCCTTTCCATAACTTCTTCAGAAGCCAACACTGCCAGCGATCTGGATGAGGGCGGTCTTGTGGCCAGTCTCTCGTTTGTATCATAATTAAGAGGAGCCATTCTCTATCGAATCCCTTGCAAGAGTTTATGCCTGAAAATGAGGTGGGGACCGCATTCTCTACCGGAATTTTCGAGTATAAACAATTGTTTTTTTTTTTTTGGATTTCCTTTTTTCCTTCGGAATTGAAGGTAACATGGAAATTAAAAAACTCTGAGAATTTTGGACCTCATCATAAACTGCCTCAAATAAATTCAAAAATTATTTTGTATCCATACATGAAATTCCTTTAAAAAAAAAAAAACTAAGAATACTAAACTTCATGAACAAGAGAAAACATTACAATATCCGATAAATGGAAACAAGGCAGTTAAAAGAATCCTGAATAACAGTAAGGTGTGACCGAGAAACTCCTTGTTTAGTCAAAACATTTGTTTCCTAGTTTGCCTCTCTGTAAAACATGTTTAAAGGAGATGTTTAGACTCCCACACAGATATTGAATCTCCAACGAGATTGTTTTCAAAACAAGGGAACTTTTTGTTCCTTATTTCACCATCTAATCGTAAGTCCCTGTAATGAGACATGCAATTCAGCTTCATTAGCCGTAGCATAGTGATGCGGATCCCAATAATTATCAAAGTATGATCCAAATGATATGTCAATAAACCTTCTATACTGGCCGGTCGGGGTTACCCAAAGAACTGACATCAAAATTCATCTTAATAAAACCTCCATTAGGGGCACCTAGTGTTCACCAACTCTCCAATTAAGAATACCAAACTTAATAGCACTCTCTATATTAATGATAAGATCCATATTAATAATGGCCAAACATTCCTTTTTAATAGCAATCCAACAAAATAAGGATTCTGACTTAGTCTTACCTCATCTAAACAATAGCCATCAAATACCTTTCTATTCCTTTCCTTTCAAATCACCCACATAACCACGGTCCTGAGATCTGGATCGGATTTGATTCACACGATGTGCCCTATCAAAGTGCCCGTGGTTTTTTTGTTTTTTTGTTTTGAATTATCCTCTACCAATTAGGCTGATGTGTTATAAACAATGTTCATTTAGATATGGAATGGAAATTCTAGATTATGAGTTATTTATATGGGACATCTGTTATCCCTTTACTCCTCCTAGTGTCCATTATTTTCCTAGGTTGGCTTTTGCAATGTCTCAAGAGGAAATTGAAAAATACCAAGCAAAATCTGTTTCTTTTGTGTAGGGGTGGCAATGGGTCCAGGTCAGGCTGGACCCAAAAAAGTATTATGAGACCCCGACCCGGACCCGAAGTCATAGGACCCGGACCTGGACCAGACCCAAAAATTAAAATATATATGTATTTTAATATAGTTAACTATTTTTTATAAATTAAGACTCAAAAATATATGTGCGACTTGGACCCGGACCTGAATAATGCTCGGGTCCAAGATTTGGACCTGGGTCGGGTCTTACTCTTTGGGTCATGGGTCGGGTCTGGGTCCATTGCCACCTCTCTTATGTTCAAGGTGGCTTGCAACATATGATGGGAATGATACATTTGAAGGTGGTAATATTTTTGGGTAATTCAGCGATAAGAATTATTGAGATGGAATGTAGCGTTCTTCAGGATAACTGCTAACCTCTCAAGCCGAGGCTTAATTCTTGAATTATAAGATGTTAAATCAAGTTCACCAATAACTGAATAACTTAAGGTGTTGGTAAGTCATATCAATATAGCATTTTTTTAATCATCACGGATTTTATATCTCATCTAGTTGGTTATCTTTTCAAAAAGTAATGCGTTATTTTTCCAAAAGCAAAGCGACGGTTGAAGACTGCACAAGCACCGCTTTTAATAAATATAGAATCTTTGTGAAAAGATAAAAATGTTTAAAGACATGAGCCATTCGAGTGCCAAAAATATTCACCTAATAATTGGGATATAAATGCATCTTTATGGATGCAACCAATAAAAATAAAAGAAAAATATTTCGAATAAGACAAGTGGGCTAAATGATCAAATCTAAATCGTTGAAAAATATTTGTGCACCCCGCAAGTAGAGCTATTAACCGTCTAGGTTCGGGCTGACCCCAGGCTTGATGCCAGCGCAAAACCATGTAAGTTAGGCCCGTGCCCAAAAGTTTAGTTCAGGACCAGCCCGTATCCATGATGACAAGACCTTAACCCAAAAAATTGGGGCCAAGCAATTCCAGGCCATACATATACGGAAAAAGTATGTTTTAAAGAGCACCTATATTATGATCCCGTGGGAGTATATTATGTATCTATTATGTCCTCCAAAACACTTATTTACTAAGATTTTTTTAGTCTATAAATTTGGGAAACATATAAAAATTACTAGATGATTATTTTCAGAAAAAAAAGTTTGAATTTTATGATAGACAGTCTCACTTCTAACTTAAGGCACTAATTATTTCTAGTACATAGAGAGTTTATTTGGGAATTTTTTCAAATTGAGATTAGTTTATGGGTTCACATCTCCAAAATTTGAGATACAAAAAGTATACTCACATATGTTTTGTCTATAGAGTAAATGGATAGTATGCTTCGTGGGACTAGGAAATCTTTTTGAGTTTTTAATACTTATAATTTGTATTTTAAAAACCAAGATTTCGGATATGGGTCGTTGATCTAGGTGAGGAATTGCTTGGGACTGAACTGGTTCTGGAATGGTATGGATCTCGGCCTGTTTTTATATAAAATCCCTTTGCTTTTCTTTTCTTTTTTAAGTTTATCTAATTTAAGTTTATCTAATGGTTTTTGTGTTCCTTGTTAAATTCCCACCCCATAAACTTCTATTTCAATTTTTTTTTTTTTCTCTTTTGATGACCGATCCGGACACTTCGAGAATGATCTAGATCTCCAATCCAAACCCCGAATGAAGGTGGCCAGTCCGGTCACCTAGGGGTAGCAACAGGTTGAGTCTAGCTGGTTCCGGACCTGGACCCAGACCTAGACTTGAATGATATTCGCATCCAGGTTTTAGACTCATACCCGACCGATCGGGTCTAAAAGTTGGACCCATATCTGTATCCGTCGTGTCCCAGGTCTATAATGTCATTGCCACCCTCACTATGAGTTTTTTTTTTTTTTTTCTCTTTTATCATCATATACTCATATCATTAGCAATAAAGTCATAATTACCTATCATTAGATTTCAAACCATCAGATTTGTCATTTAATAGCTAAAAATTACTACGAATTCTTATTATATATAATAATTAATGCACCCAAACGAATGGGGCTTGAAGTTGTTTATCTCAAACAGTTTACGGGTACGAATTGGAAGTCCAACCAGATCTGAACTCGAATAGTATTTGGGTCCAAGTTTTGAACCCATACCCGATCTAATCCAAATGTTATACACATATTGAGTATATCTGATGGGTCTCGTGGATCCGTGTCTATTAACACCCCTAGTTCTTGACTTTGTTTGGGCCAAGTAACCCGCTCAGTCTCTAACGTTGTGGGCCTTTATGCACAATTTTGTTTTTTTCTTGATTAGTACGCAGGTTTTAGCGCAATTGCGCATCATTATCTCTCTCTCTCACATATTCGGCCCTCATGCGCGATTACTTACTGTATCTCTCTATCAAATCTCCCTCTCTCTCTCTCTCTAACTTTGTTTCGCCAATAGAAGTTAACAACTCGGGGAATAACGTTAAGCCAAAAAAACCAAATAAAATATATAAGGATACTATTTACTTTTTGTACAAAATAGTCATAATTAATTTTGATAATTGAATGTAAAATTGTGCGGCTATATTTATTTTATTGATCAAACTTGAAGTTTAAAAAAAAAATTCTTGGAACTTTATGCACAATCAAATTATTAGATTTTACATCATATGGCTATAAATAATTATGATATGTTTGTACCAAGGGTAAATAGTCTCATTATATACAGTCTCATAATATTATATATGGGCTAATTAAAATATTTTTTATAAAATTATTTTGCTTTAAAAATTCTCAAAAGATAGGGTCAAAAATAAATATCACTAAAAATTGAGTACAGTTTGTGTAGAGTCTAGGCTCCAAACAATCAAATTAGAGCCTACCTTCAAATAGTGTCGAGAAATGTGGTTTCAATAGTAGAAATTTTTGTGATAGCCTTAAAATATATTTTTATTTATAAATTTTAAAGCTTAAAAAATAGTATAAATCGACAGACCCATGAAAACTTGAAAATCTTGAAAATTGACGGTCTTAAAATGCATTGCAAAATATAATATTTTCAAAATTTGAAATTGAAATTTTTCTCATGTCCATGCATCTTGATGTCAAGATGATCAATTTGATGATATTTCGACATCAAAGCAACCTCCTATAGTGAAAATTTTGAGGTAGGTTCTAATTTGGTTATTTAGAGCATCGGCTCTATGTAAACTTTTTCCCTAAAAATTGGGTAATTTACGGTGAAAAAATAAATCAATACATAAAAATAATAAAATATAAAATTATGAGTTGCAATTATTACATAGATACATTAAAACGTTATATCATAATTTTTATGTCCTTACCATCGTTATAGTCATACTTGTACAAATTTTTGTCTGAACTTTTAATAAACACGACAACAGTGGTTATTGTTTTATGACCTTTTTAGGACCGTTAATAGCGAAATGGTATACGATGTATCCATACGATATATAGAGACCGTTCACCGTCCTCTTTGAACGGTGAATGTTCTCTAGTGGGTCCGTTCATAGGACCCACCAAAGGCGATGTCTCTCAGAAAAGTTAAGGTCACGTCCAGTATCAATGTCCTGTTTCTCTTTCTTGGTCCCACGCGCTCTCTCTCCTGCCATGGACTTTGAGATCTATGGACCATGTGTGCCGCATTTGCTGACCCATTCTGAGCCGCCATGGTACTCAATCTCGTAAGAGAGAGACAGAGCTAATTGCATAATATTCAAAAGTCTAAACTTTTTTATAACCAACACATTCCTCCAAAATATGTATATTCTTATCTCAACTATCCCTCTGCACAGCTGTATTTCAAATTTTTTATTCACAAATTTTCAGTTTTATAAGCATAATTTCAACCCCATATAACCAAAATCAGATTGCAATCCATTTAAAGTTCAAAAACTTGTCGACTCTGGTAGATATTTTCTTTCCAGATAGACTAAAAAATAGGCATGTTTTGCTTCCTAAGCCTAACCCATCTCTGCAACTGATTCAAACTTGACAACTCTTGAGTTTGTAAAAAATGGGCAAGTTTTGCTTTCTAAGCCTGACCCATCTCTGCACCTGATTCCATTAGGCCAGAGCCTCTGTTTTCTTAGCATACCATCTATCCTATCAGGGTGTTCTAATGGAGTTCTTGCGTTCATCTTCATCGCTATTAATTCTTTCTCTTTGCTCTTTTCTCCTCTCATTTCTGGTTTTTAGATCCCAAGCTCAAGCAACACTCGACCCAAATGAAGGTAAGCATCTAACCTACATGTGCATGAATGATAATGAAATAATCAGTGAGAAAATCATAAACTAGTGCGTCTATTTTTAACTTTTAAGTGTACCAGACACCCATATTGATTAGTTCTGATAACTTTATTTATTTGCTAGAGAGAGAATTGTGTTTTTGTATGGATTTTTTGCTAGAACTTAGTCAACAAGAAAGATTAGAATAGTGGTTATCTGACCTGTTTCTTTTGAATAAGCAGCCGTGGCTCTGAGATCATTGTCAGAAAAATGGGGTATTTCTTCTTCAGCTAGCTGGAATATCAGTGGTGAACCTTGCAGTGGAACCGCCATTGATACTTCAAAGATTGAAGACAACAACCCTGCAATTAAGTGCTCTTGCACTAGCACTACTTGCCATATTACACACATGTATTACTCTAATCCTTTTTCATGTTTTCTTATGAATTATTTGGGTATAGTTTAGTTTAATCAGCTAAGGCACTGATCTAGAAACAAAAATAAAACAAAGGGTTCTGAACTTCTCACTGTAAAATCTAGTTTTATTGATTTAAGGATTTAAACTTCTCACTCTAGAATTTTGTTTCGCGCTATGAGGTTCGAGATTCTCACATATGTTTCGGCTGATGCAGGAGAGTCTATGCCATGAGCCTTAACGGAAGCTTTCCGGAAGAGATTGGGAATCTGACTTCCCTCACAAATTTGTATGTCATCATTTCTTAATTGGATTTGGGGAATTGTAGTATGATATTTGTGTTTTTTCAAAAGAAGATACCTTAGGCCCTTAGCTATCTGATATGTATGATTAGGAAACTACTATATGTTTTGGTTAATCTGATACTCTTTTACGATGTGTTTCGTTGTGATTCAAATCTGGTTATATGTCTTTTGAATTAATCAAGTATCAATCATGGTCATTTGTATTCTGCCTGCCTCTCTCTTTCTCTCTCTCTCTCTCACAGGAACCTCGCTCAAAACTATCTAACCGGCCCTTTACCAGCATTTATTGGAAATCTTGCCTCTATGCAGTACTTGTGAGTATTTTTTTTCTCTGAAAAGCTTTGGTTCAAAGGGTGAGATCCTTGGTCATTAAAGTGTTTTATTTGAAATATGCAATTCTAATTACCATACTTCCTCTTCTTTTGGACGACAATAGGACCTTGGGTATCAACATGCTATCTGGAACTGTTCCGATGGAGCTTGGCAGTTTTCGAGATATACGCATACTGTATGGCTTCTCCTTTCAATTTCTAGTTATTGTTTTCGTCATTGATTTCAATGGACATGGAAATTCTTCTTGCAGCATAGCACCCATAAGCACATAACTATCAGAAATATGTTTTAACTTCAAGAGGTTTAACCTTTAAGATATTGTTTATTTTAGATGATATTAACTCATTGAGTGACTAACATTTTTTTTTTGATTAAAACCATCCAAAAGTTGGCCCCAAAATTAAATATTATATACAAAACTAAAATTAGAAATTTCTTGAGAATGTAATATTCTTATTAACTGGGGTCAAAGCATCCGAATTCTAGCAATACTATGTCTGTGAGTGTAATACATAAGGGGTTTTTCATAATTTTCTCTTTGGATGACAATCCCCTTGTCCAGTATAGGAAATGGCGTATCAACATCATCATCGTGTGAGCCTTATCCCAACCATTTCGGTTTGGCTATACGAATCATGTTCCGCCATTTCGATGTATCAAGGGCCATATCCCTAGTCGGATCATAAGTTACCATATCTCTTTTTACTACTTCTATCCATGTTTATTTAAAAAATTGCAAATGCGACCTAATGTTTTAATTTGAAAGACCTACAATGATACGTCCCAACACTGATACTCTTAGTGGACCCATTTCGTTCTGGTTTTGAGAGGATACCTCTTTTGAGAAAGCCGATATTTCTAGCGATTTAAAAATTAAAATATGGGTTGTTTCTTAAATTTAATATCCATCTCTATTTTGAGATCGAAAATATAGTATTCTCCATCTCTCTCTCTCTCTCTCTCTCTCTAAGATTGAGAACAGCCAGCAATCTAGGAAAAAGTAAAGAAACAGATCGACGATTGAGGACCCACATTAAGGCCACAAGCCAACATGGGGGACATGGGGAAAACATGCCAAGCAAGAAGTTAAAAAGAAATCCATAAGTATTTTGGATGGTGTTTGAAATTTTTTTATATTCTTGTTTTCTTCATTTTTTGCAATATGATGTATTATGAAATTCTCCTTGCAAACCAATGCTTCATTTTTTTTTTTTGTAAATTCTGTATTGGTTATGACATTTGAGAGGTTATCCATGTTGTCCATAGGAACCAATTTGGTGGAGAGGATTTTTATCTGATTTGAGAGGTCATCTATTTTGATAGGATATCACTTTACACACACATTTACATGACCTATATTTTGTTGTTCTATTTCCTATATGTTATTTGAATGGATTAGACATATTATTTGGATGTTTCTCGTTGGGAAAACATTGGTTGGACAACCATCTCACTGCATACTTATTTATGTAATAATATAATGTATGTGCACTATCTTTTGAATGAGTGTGTTGAGTGGTTCCAATTGGTAAAACTTTTAACACGTTTAAAGCTGCAAATATTGGACCCCTCGCTTCTTTCTCCTCCTTAATTTGTGATGTTCCTTGAAAAGCAGATTACTGATGTACTGTGTATCATATAGTGTTGTAAACCCTGCTAAGTCATTTATACTTGCAACCACGTCAAGTCATTTATACTTTGCATCAGATGTCTTATTTGAATTGCTAACTGGCTACTGAAACTACTCTCTCTCTCTCTCTCTCTCTCTCTCTCTCTCTCTCTCTACTACTAC